GATTTCTCTAGGTGAACTTAGTCTCAGAGTGCAAGTGTTACAAATGTCACCAGGCCGGCGGTGAAATACCAGGTTGCTCAGATTCATGGGCATTTCTTAAGGGATTCTCTTGCCTCAGCCTCCCAAGTAGCTGGGACTACAGACACCCACCACAATGCCCAGCTATTTTTCGGTTGCAGTTGTTTAGTTGGCCCAGGATGAGTTCAAATCCACCACCCTCAGTGTATGTGGCTGGTGCCATAACCACTGTGTTATGGGCGCTGAGCCTAAACTCCATTTTTAAAGCAGTAATAAAAATTATAGCTACTTAGAAGCAAAACAAAAAACATTGAGTTTAGAGTCTGGTTTAAGATTAACTCTTGTGTAACTTCAATTAATATTATTTACTAGCCAAGGGACCTTGGCAAGGCCTACTGTTGTGCAGATCCCAAGAGATGTAGTTTAAAGGGCTCAAAGTCCACAGAACCCTGGTTTCTTCTTGTTTGGGGTAGTATGTTGTAATAATTGTGGTTACAAACACCCATTGATTCCTCTCATTTGTACTTAACTTTGGCTGTGTCAGATGGTGCCAGACTAGAGTTTATGGCCTGTTTGGGTGTGAATGTGAGGACAAACTTTGATAGTCTTACAAGGTGTAATCTACCCGTAAGATGACTGGTGGTGGTGATGTATATATGAGGCGGTGGAAACAGGCAGTGTCACTTGAAGAAACACTGATACCCCCGACGAGTCTCTGGCATTAGACAGGTCTGGGTTTGAGTCTCACCTCTGCTACTTCCCAACCATATGACTTTGGCTAGGTTTTAACCTTTGAGCCTTAGTCTCTTCATCTATAAAATGGAGATAACAGTATCTTGTGAGCTATTTGGTGGATCAAATGATAGAATATATGTACAAGAATTTCAGTACCAAATAACTGGTATACCACAAATTGTAGCCATTAACTCAAGACAGTTCTTCAAAAGTTAGATGTTGCTGGGGCATTTCCGGCCCCATATACTGAGGGTAGCAGGTTCCTACCCAGCCCTGGTACAAAAATAGCCAGGTGTTGTGGCAGGTGCCTGTAGTCACAGCTACTTGGGAGGCTGAGGCAAGAGAATCGCCTAAGCCCAGGAGTTGGAGGTTGTTGTGAGCTGTGACACCACAGCACTCTACCAAGGGTGACAAAGTGAGACTCTGTCTCTTAAAAAAAAAAGTTACATGTTTCAGGTAAAACTCATCAGTTTTCTCTCAGTACTTCTCTCTTTTAAAGTAGAGGGTATGTCATGTGATTAGGTGGCAAGAAGTGGGCTCCTTGTTCCCTTTGACAAAGGGAAATGAAGCCAAGCCAAAGCTTTGGGGGTTACGTGGTCTCCAACTCCCCAGGGAAAATGTGTGGGCTGGTCCACAAGGGGAAGCCTGGACGTGGGAGATGGCAGACGGACTGTGGCAGTCTCTTCCCTTTCTCTGGCCCACGAAGAACACAGGAAGCAGCCGAGGTAGCCAGCTCAAAACTGGAGGATCCATCACTTGTGAAACGTGAAATCCACATACACCAAAGGCAAATAGAAACAGACTCTCATCCAGAGAAAATTAGCTAAAGCACATCACTTTATTAAGTACATTGCTGGAAAGGGAGGCCACTTGGGAAAAACTTTGCACTAACACTCTCATCCTGGATCTCCTTCTAGGCTTCTCACCTCCCAAGTGATTTAATTTTAGCCTATTGGGCTATGAATTCGCAAGGCAGAAAGTGAAGGTCATTTTGGTATCTGAAGGTATGGAGAAACTCAAAGAACCAAAATCATTATTACTTTAAGCCTGAAAAGAGATTTTTCAGCCAGGATCTGGGTGAAAAAGATAAAACTGCCATTTTAAAATTCAAAATATAAATGTGACTTGAATTTCAAATTGAAATGCTTCATAAACCTCTGATAAGCTCAGCTAGGAACCAGGATATATGGTGGTAAAAGGCACTTGGAAAAAGGGTACGGGGGAAGGGACATCCTACACTGGGACTGACAGAATGACTAAGCTTAGCACAGATAGGAAGGGTGGTGCTGGGAAAGGAAGCTGTAATTCTTAGATTTCTCTAGGTGAACTTAGTCTCAGAGTGCAAGTGTTACAAATGTCACCAGGCCGGCGGTGAAATACCAGGTTGCTCAGATTCATGGGCATTTGCAAAATGGAAGGTGTTTCCTAATCTTACAAATCAAGAAACTGTAGTCCAGAAGGGCTGACCACTTCCTTGCTCACAATCAGCATAAATGAGAGAATGACTAGGCAAATAAAAAAGACCTACATTTACACAGATATCCTAAGTTTGACAGTGTTTGTCCAAGCTCATTAGACATTACATACCAAATATACTATGAGTTCCTTATACTACTTAATGAATGGGCTTGTAACCAAGATATTTCACAGGGAACGATAGTCAAGAGCATGCAGACAATAAAAATACAATGGTTTCCTGAAGATATTTTTTGAAAAAGCATTTTAGTTCATAGGCTATCCAAATGGGTATGTAACGATTGCTTATAGAACTTAGAGAAAATTTTATTAAAAAATTAAAACTATTTAAAACCTGATATAGAAAATAGGCAAAAGTGAGAAAAAAGCACTTTTGTGACAAATATTTAGCTGGTTTGAAAGACCACAGAGCAATCATTTACTCATAAAGGCTCAACTAAGTTTAAAAATGCACATGTCATTTTTAAAAGGACCACTATAATAGTGAATGGAAAAGTCTTCAAAAGGTTAAGGTGATCTTTTTCAGTCTTGACCACGGCTTCTAGTTCTGACAGGCACAAGGCAAGAAAATGCCTACTCTCAAGTGAGGATAAGTCCGAAACATTGTTTGCGTTTAAAAAGCAAATGCATATTAGGGGAATTTCCTGAAGATTCCCTGGAGGTAAGGCACATACGGCCCAGAGAAGCTGGTTGTAGCATAAGGTCGTCACTTTCTGCAAAGCATTTATCCAGCCAACTGTATCAGGTGGCACTTAGAGCCTATGATCGTGCCTCTGGTATGGTGCTTAGAGGGTTCAGAATGACTCAATTGAAGTCAAAAGAAGTAGATTTAACCTAGTGCATAATAATCTAAAAATACAAACTTTTATAAAGAACAAGAGGTTACTTATATAAATCACATCTCTATTTACGCCCTAACAATTCCTTTATCTGCTTTCATGATTACTATACATCCTAAGAACATTACACTTGACATATGAAAGATGAATGAGGGAGAATAGTCAAGGTACCCGCCCCACCCTCTCCTTATGAGTTAAAGGCTAATTTGGTCCCCCACTTCATCCTTGGAAGGGTAGAGCTCATCTACCCCGAGGCTCAGTGTTTTGCCCCTATGATGCCTTGCAACATATCTATGGGCAGAGGGAAGACAATCGTTGAGTTTTTCTCAGCAGCGATGGTGGTAAGTGTCTGAAGGTATCGGAGCTGCAGGGCTGCCGGAGATTCAGTGATTACCATGGAAGCTTCTTTCAGAGCCCTGGATGCATTCATTTCTCCTTCAGCTGCAATGACCTATGGACAGGGGAAAGCAGAGGTCAAACTGGAGAATACCACATGGTGACATGCTCCAGTCTTCAAACTGGGGCATGTATACGTTAGGGGACACACAAAACTTCCCCTGGAGTGTGTCAGAACATTTTTAAGGAAATCAATTCTTAGATACTCAAATTACATATGTTCTTCTTCCGGAAAGTGACTTGCCTGAGTATGTGCCTGGGTCAAACATTCTCTTTTACTATTGCCTTTCTCCCATTTCACAGGCTACCAAACCAAAGAATGACTCAAAATCCTCTGTGTGGGTTTGAGAACGTGATTGACTTTAATGGCTGAATATAAATCTTTTGGCCAGTCAAGTGAATTTCCAATTCTTTGATTTCAAAGGAAGAAAAGAGGACCTTACTGAAGAAAAGAGGATCTTACTGATTATTTAAAAAGTTTTTTTTTTTTTTTTGAGACAGAATTTCATTATGTTACCCTCAGTAGAGTGATGTGGCGTCACGGCTCACAGCAACCTCAAACTTTTGGGCTACTACTTTTGTAGTTGTCATTGTTGTTTGGCAGGCCCGGGCTGGGTTCAAACCTTCTAGCCCCGGTGTATGTGGCCAGCACCTTAGCTGCTGAGCTATAGGTGCTGAGCCTTAAAAAGTATTTTTTGGGCGGCACCCAGTAGCTTAGAAGATAAGGCGACGGCCATACAACTGAGGCTGGCGGGTTTGCACCCAGCCTGGGCCAGCTAAAATCAACAATGACAACTGCAACAAAAAAATAACTGGGCATTGTGGTGGGTGCCTGTAGTTTCAGCGACTTAGAAGGCTGAGGCAAGAGAATCACTTAAACCCAAGAGTTTGAGGTTGCTGTGAGCTGTAACACCACAGCACTCTACCGAGAGTGACATAGTGAGACTCTGTCTCAAAAAATAAATAAATAAATAAAATAATAATAATCCTAACTTATAGACTAAAGTAGGGTAATAAAATAATTCATAATAAAATATGAACAGACGGAGGCTTTTATATGGAAATAAATGACAAGTCATAGCAACCGTAAACTCTCGGGCTCAAGTGATCTTGCCTCAGTCTCTCAGATAGCTGAGACTATAGGTGCCTACCACAACGCCTGCTATCTTTTTTCTTTTAGAAACAGAGTCTTGCTCTAGCTCAGCCTGGTCTTGAACTCCTGAGTGCAGGCAATCCACTCTCCTTGGCTTCCCAGAGTGCTGAGATTACAGGCAGGAGCCACTGCGGCTGGCCTTTTTTTGTTGTTGTTAAGCAGGCCTAGGCCAGGTTCAAACCCGCCACATTCTCAGGGAATGAACCCCTGAGAACCCCTGAGCTATGGACGAGCAGCCAAGACCTAATTTTGGGATCTAACTTAATGTCTTAATGCACAGAAGACTCAAGGCAGTTACTTTTCATTCATAATTCTAGAAGAAAAGGTATAAAGATGCCATAATTAAGACTAAAAGTACAGTTTCATAAGGTTATCCTCACATAGATCTCAAAATATGAATGGTTCATAATACTCTGTGAAAATCAGAATTAGAAGCAATGGTCTTATTCCTAATGACATTTTGTTCAGTTTATACAGCAAAGTTGGGGGGCTTCTAGATGTTCTAAGCCCTGTGTAGATAGAGAGTGGAGTCCCTAGCCTCCTTCAGCTCTTGGCCATGTAGGGAAGACAGACACGGAAACAGATCATTTCACTGCAGTGTGGTGAATGCTGACAGAAATCTGCACAAGGCACAGTGCTAGCAGAGAGGGAGGCGTGAGGTTATAAAGTTGAATATTAAGGATGGAACACTTGCTGTTTGGACAAAGGTAAAGAAGAACATTGTAGGCAGAACTCATGAAATGGTACTGAGTTATATTCCAGAAAACTGTAAGAGGCTGTGTGAGGAGGTGGGAAAGGTCTGAAAGGCAGTGAAGGAAGGCCCGAATGCCTGGTCTTGGTCCTGCAGGCTCCAGGAAGCAGTGGAATGGTCTAATGGTGAGTGACCTCTCCAGGAGACCTAGTCTGAGACAACACTATGATGTCTAGGATAGAAGAGATTTGGAGTTGTTAGTGGACCTGTTTCAGAGCAATGGATATGAATAGTGGGGGTAGGGATGAAGGACAGAATGGGTTAGAGAGCTATTCAGGAGAGAGAAAGAATAGAATTTGGAGGCTAGGTATGGGGAGGAAAGGAGAACAGAGGCTGAGTCTCAGGTTTTTAGGTTTTGGCTGTATGGTTCAGAGCCATTAATGGAGACAGAAGATAGAGGATATGGTACTTAGAGAATCTAGCTGACATGTTAGAAATCTGAATTTATCAAGGCGACCCATCACATCCTACACTGAGGCCTTTGCCAGATACTCTCAAAGAGAACCACAGACCTGGATTCCAAGGCAGGCTTGGCAGAGAAGGCATCAATCCCTTGCCACAAGAGCAGCAGGCTGTGATTTTTCTCCATGTCATCTCAGATATCTAATTAGGCACTTGGTCTGGACATGGGCTGCAAAGATATCTCATTTCCCACCACCGATCAGTACACAATCTCTTGGCTGGGAAGCCAGACCCACTGGGCTGGGCACATTTTGTTTATGGAAAAGCTGCTCTGAGCAAGCTGCCAAGATGTGAACACAACACCGATGGCTTTGTCTGATATAGGCCAAGTGCAAGTGCATTCTGCTGACAGCATCTTAGAGAGCAAAGCAAGCCATCTGTGGGGGAGGTGGGGTGGGGCTTTTGTCAAATGTGCAGTAATCCCACGTCAATCAATACTTTATATTTACAGAGCATCATTTTAAAATCCGGCATTTTCACATATGCTAGATGGGTACTTCCTGTTCCCGTCTGTAGACCAGATGGGCTGGTCAGAGGAAGAACAGAGAAAGGTGATCTTCTGTATATTTATACTCCACCCTCTCACCCTCTGCCAGGTCCAGAAACATAAGCCTGAGGGCACATGCCAGGCATTTTTCCCAGTTATGAAAAGGAAATAAGGAAAAATGTAAGCAGAAAAGACAATACATTTCCAGCCATTGAGAGTTGGTCTAAAAACTTTAAAAAGAGGTTTGCCTAATGTACAGTAAAGTGAGTGGGACAGGCTCGGCGCCTGTAGCTCAGTGGCTAGGGCACCAGCCACAGACACTGGAGCTGGCGGGTTCAAATCCAGCCCGGGCCTGCCAAACAATGACAACTACAACCAAAAAGTAGCCAGGTGTTATAGCGGGCACCTGTAGTCCCAGCTACTTGGAAGGCTGAAGCAAAAGAATTGCTTGAGCCCAAGAATTTGAGGTTGTTGTGAGCTGTGATGCCACAGCTCTCCATCCAGGGCCAGGGCAATGGCAGGTTGAGACTCTGTCTCAAAAAAAAAAAAAAAAAGTGAGTGGGACAATCAGAAACTGGCTTCTCTTACTCAAAGGGTAAAGTCAACTTTACATCTTAATTTTTTTTTTGCAGTTTTTGGCTGGGGCTGGGTTTGAACCCACCACTTCCAGTATATGGGGTCAGGGCCCTACTCCTTTGAGCCACAGGCGCCGCCCAACTTTACATCTTTTATATTAACCTGGATGGCACTGAAGAATACTCTCCTTAGTAAAGTATCACAAGAATGAAAAAGCAAGTATCCAATCTACTTAATTCTAATATGAAACCAGTAGATGAGAACAACTTCATGTCTGCAGGGGAGAAAAACGCAAGTAATTCAAGTGGGGAGGAGGGAAGAGGAGGAAGGAAAGAAGGGGAGGAGGCTGGGGGATTGGTGACCTCTCACCTAACCAGCATAATGTAAGGGTATCTGGCACACCTCCTAGGTGAAGGGCTCAACCAAACAAATGCAAACAATGTAACCTAATTGTTTATTCCCTCATATTAATCTGAAAAAAGAAAAACTGGGGGCCAAAGTCAGATCCATATTTGGAATATGGACCAAAGCCGGCTTGAAGAGAATCTCTCTTCTGTCAAGGTGAAATTAGGGCTGGTCTGTCTACTATATTGTTCCTCTCGGCAGACATAGAAAACAGTCAGACATTCTTCACCACAAGCTGTCCATAGTGAGAGCGTTCGTTCTCTTTGCTAGGTAGTATTCCCTCACGTGAACAAACCACACTTTATCCATTCAGCTAGCGATATACATCTGGGTACTTTCCAGTTTGAGGCCACTACCAAGTGCTGCTGTGAACATTCTAGTAGATGTCTTTTGGTAAACATATGAGTGCAGTTCTGTTATACATACACACAGGAATGAAGCTACTGGCTCACAGGATATAAAAATGTTAAGTTTTGGTGGATACTGCCAGACTGTTTTCCAAAGTGTACCAATTTACACTCCCACCAGCAGAATTTTGAGCCTTCCAATTCCTTTCTCACCCACACTTGATTTTTTAATTTTATTTTGAAGCCATTCTGGTGGTGACTAGTGTGGCATCTGATTGTAATTTGAATTGGCATTTCCCTAATAGCTAATAAACTTAAAGAATCTTTCTCTGAAGTCTTAATCTATAGGCTTGCCTGCCCTATCTCTCCTTTCCTCTGCAGTTGTTGGAGAAACCCTGACCCCTTATCTTCCATGAGAACATAAAAATAAGCCTATAATTGTGGCAGGGCTACTGTATCTTACAGTACAGCTAAGCCCATTGTGATTCTACAGGTAAACTGTAAAGTCAGAAAGTCATGGGCGGTGCCTGTGGCTCAGTGAGTAGGGCGCCGGCCCCATATACCTAGGGTGGCAGGTTCAAACCCGGCCCTGGCTAAACGGCAACAAAATAATAGCCGGGCATTGTGGCGGGCACCTGTAGTCCCAGCTACTTGGGAGGCTGAGACAAGAGAATCACCTAAGTTCAAGAGCTGGAGGTTGCTGTGAGCTGTGACCTGACAGCACTCTACCGAGGGTGATGGAGTGAGACTGTCTCTAAAAAAAAAAAAAAAAAAGTGAGAAAGTCATGGCGCAGGTTCAGTTTAGTCCAGACTACCAGCCCTACCACCTCGTCCAAACAGGTGATTGTGATCTAGAGTCTTAATCAGCTTCCTTTATCTTTTGTTATTGTTCTAAAGGGAAAACAGAAACTCTGGAATGCTGTGTTAAGAGGGCCCACCCATCTAGGTAGTACCAGAGAGGGCAGTGGGGAGCGGAGGGGAGTTCTAATTTCCACTACTATTATATGACTAGGTGATCTTGAGGAAATTACTTAACTTTTCTGGGCTTCAACTTTTCATTTGAATAGTGGAATGGCAAACTAGTTTCATTTTTAGGGCTAAGCAATTGAGGGATGTTAGCTGGAGTGCTATAGAAGGGTTCTGAGGCCAAGTCTAAGTTCAGTGGAAAACAGCGCGGTGGTTAATTACCAGCATGGGAATAGGAGGGTGGAGCAGCAGCATCTGGGCTAGGTACTTGTCACCTCTGGAAGGTAATCTCTGAGGACCCTTCGGGTGCCGACCTTCCCCATAGTCTATGTATGCTACACCTTATTGCTCATTGCTGCCTGGGAATGGGGCTTTTGGTTAATGGCAGATTCTAGGTAAAAGCAACTCTTAAATTTCAAAATAATCAGACACTAGGGCACATTAATAACATTATTGTAAATATAACTTCATCTTCTAAATGTGATGGTTTTGAAAGAAGACACTGGAGGGCTCTTCAGTATTGTCAGGTTGTCCTCACAAACATCAGTTACCTTAATTAGGAAAATCTAAATTCTGGTTAATAGAAAATTCTGGAGCCAGTGTCAAATGAGCCACTTTTCTATTTGATGCTGCCTAAGAAATAACAGTGACCAACTTTTGGTTCAAAGGGCATCCTGAGAGGACAGAGTTCTGTGGTTAGTCAGTTATCACCAGCAGCTACTATTTTCCTCTTCCTCCCCCATCCACAGGCATGGGGCTGCAGGACCATAAAAGGATCTGACTCTGCCCTGTGACCAAAGTGGGGCCAAAGAGAATCGCTCTTTTTTAACTGTGGCTCATTATGTGGAATTATGGCTCATCTTGCCTAAGCAGACACATAACCACAAACTACCTACAGTGACATGTGACCCAAGAAAGGGAACAACTACTTCCTTTCAGTCTTGACTGCTTTCTCCTTCTGGCTCCAGTTCTGGTGAGGCTTGACTCTACTGCCCCTTGGGTCTGGTGAGCTATCCACGTGTCCATGTACATCATCTTAAAAGATTCTCTTTTCTAGGTTAGCTTCCAGAGCCTCCCAGTGGGGCCGTGCCACCCACGTGGGGGTAAGACATAGGCAGGGATGACGATGGAAAGAAAGACAGAAAAAAAAAAGATGTCAAAAAAGACAAGTAAAGAAGAGAAAAAGGGGGAAGCAGGGAAGAAGAAGCAAGAATGAAAGAGAAGACAAAAGGAAGGAAGGAATGGGTGGTGTGGATGGAATGATGACATCAACCATTAATCTGCCCTTAATAATGAATTGGGAGAATAAAGTACGGGGTATGCAGTCATAAGAGAATGAGGCAACTCTCTATGCACTGATACACTCAGGAGATACTAAGTGAGAAAAGGATGGTACACCACACCACACAATATAAACTTTTGTGAAACAAGCCAATGGCCCAACAACCTAGTCAGATAAAATCCAAATATACTATGTTAAGAGTGGTGGCCTGGTTCAGCACCTGTAGCACAGTGATTATGGTGCCAGCCACATACACCAAGAGTGGCAGGTTCGAACCCAGCCTGGGCCAGCTAAACAATGACAACTGCAACAAGAAATAGTTTAGGCATTGTGGCGGGTGCCTGTAATCCCAGCTACTTGGGGGGCTGAGGCAAGAGAATCACATAAGCCCTAGAATTCAAGGTTGCTGTGAGCTGTGACTCTATGGCACTCTACCAAGGGCAACATAGTGGAACTCTGTCTCACCAAAA